AATGTTTCGAATTTAAATCTTATGAATAAATAAATAAATACTAAAAAAGCTCCTCCCCTAAGGGTCCGATGCGGATCGATTCCAAATCAATGAAGATCCAATATAATTACTAAATATCAGAAAAGTAACACAAAAAAAAGAAAAAAGAAAAAAAAAGAATTGTAATTGTATCTCTAGTCCACATAAAGGATAGCATACACCACGATAATTGTTGGACTTTCTATATAAGGTTATGACAATGGAATCCAAGGTAGGTTTTTTTTTTTTTTTGTTGCCATATTAATGAAAATTAGGCGAAGTGAATCTGATTCACATGGGAATATGTGACTGATATTATTGGTATTGCTTTATACATTTTTATCTTGTGGTCACAACCCATGTGCATTCATCATGTATCTTCAGCAACAAGAAATCAATTAATCACATCAAAGTTCTTCATAAAAAAATTAATTAATCCTCTAATATTTTTGCTAAATTTAATAGTTACACTTAAAGATAATCAGATATCGATTGTATATGAAGCTAACTAAATTCTTAGTTTATATGTCTATAAATTTCATTAAAATAAATCTTGTACGAGAAAATTTGTCATTATTTAACTCATTAATAAGGACAAAACTAAGGTGGAAAACGAATGGGATGATCAATCTGTCTCAAAAATTTCTTTATAGAAAATAATTTAAGGATAATTTTTTGTATTATTTTTTTATATAAATGTATATATTATTTAAATGATTTATTTTTTTATTTATTTAAAAATTATACTATTAAATAAATCTACTTATTTAATAATATGTGAAATTTGTATAAAAAATGATATAAACAAGTTGTTCATATATTCCCACCCTTTGTTTATGCACTAATTGAGTGTGATTTTGTTGAGTTGGACTCCAACTCAATATTTATTTTCAAGAGTTTACTTATTACTAAATAAATATTATTGTCTAAATTAAATTTAAAATTTAAGTATTGAAGTTAGTATTTAAAAATTTTAATTTTTAAAATATATCAACTTGATATAAGGGATGTGTTTTTAAATTTAGTTAAAAATTCATTTTAAAAAATGCACATATTATTTTAACGGCGCTTTTGTGGGGCAGATAAAAAAACAATACTAAAAGTAGGTATAAGGAGCCTGAAATTTTTGACACCTAGAACTAGAAACTTTGTAGTTACTTATTTAAAGAAAATTGTGGTGCAATTTAAATTATATTAAATTATATAATATTAATTATTAAATAAAAATAAAAAAAATTTTAATATTAAATTTTATAGTTATCACTTTATAATTTTTTTTTTGAACAAGAAGAAATTTGGGAAAAAGGGGAATAAAAAGTTATTCTTGCCGTTTGAATTCTGACTAAGGTCAATAGTCAAGCACACCCAAACCAAACCAAAGCCGTCAAAACTGTGGGTACACACTTTATAATTTAATATGATCCGGTATATAAAAAAAAATTTCTTCTATTCAAATAGGACAGCTAATAAAGGTGAGTATCTCAAAAAGTTAGTCCTTCACCCTGCTAACTAAAATGTCATATTAGTAAATTATAATAAAAGTATTTAAATATTTAATAAATTAAAATTAAAATTATTTATTAAAAATATTTAAATAATTTTGATAGTTTATATGTTAATAAATTTTTATTTTTATTTTTCTCTAAATACAATTTTACCTCAAATAACATGATATAATTATAAAAAAATTACAAAAATTCTTAAAAACACATTTAGTTTTTAGTAAAAAAATCACATTTACCTAATAAGGGAAGTCGGAAAGTTAAAATGTATTTTTAAAAAAAATTAAAAAAATTATTAATAAAGATAAAATTTTTAAAAAAATTTAATACTATATTTAAAATAAAAACTGACAAATATATTATACCACCTCCTTTTAAAGCTGTGAGGAGGAAAGTAGACTGATGAGATAGTATATACTATTGTACATATTGAGAGGAAAAATTTTAAGTGTATAAGATTAAATATATGAATTAAATATAAAAAAATTATTTTATTTATAGTTAATAAATTTTAAATTAAATATAAATTTATATGTATAAATTTGGCATGGAATTAGAATTCAGATTTTATTCTAAAAAAATCCATTGTTAACCTGCATTATATGACTTAATATTCATAGTAAATCTATATGTGAGAAGGTATATTGAGTAAAAAAATTTCACATTAAATATATAATATAGAAATATGTAAGTTAAAATTCAATATAAAAAAAATTACTCCACTTATAACTAATTAATTTTAAATTAAAAATAGCTGATCAAAAAAAAATTTTAATTAAAAATAATCATTATATTAAAACTCACATAGACTATTTTCATAATATATCCATGTTATTAATATTAAAAGTTTCATTATTTTAAATAATGTTTAAAGGTTTAAATTAAAAATTTTATATTTAAAATTTAAAATTTAAAATAAATAATAAATAATAAAAAATATTTTTTATTATATAACTAATTATATGATACAATATTAAAAAAGTAATAAAGGTTCAAAAATGCATCGGGGAAGATGAATTTTTGTTTTTTACTGCATGAGATTAAAAAACTACTAATAACTGGTCACGGAAAAACCAGGTGGCGCAAAGTGAATGGTAAAAAGGGACACATCCTCTACTTTTCTCTATATATGGTGTTGACGAGAGGACAGACAGGACCTAGTTTTCCCTTCAAAGAAAGAAAGGATTAGAAAACTCACTCAGCAACTTTTAAAAAAACCAACCTTACTTTTTTTCTGAGGAAGGGAGGAGAAAGAAACAGCAAACCCTTTGAAAGACTTTCTTCATCGGCAGAAGCAAGCCAGAACTCAAAGCCAAAGGTACCGTCTTTTTCTGCATTATGTTTTCGGAATTTTGCTTTCCTTTTAAGTAAAATATAATTACTTGAGTTTTGTTTTTTTTCTTATTTTTTGGGTTGAAATGGAACTGAATTAACGAAAAAAGAAAACTAGTCTTTCATTTCTTTTTTTTGCTCTGCATCTAAATTTCTGTTCATCTAAGGT